ATATTGTATCCAAAATGAGTTCTACTACGATACTGACATCAATATTTATACAAATTAATTACTAAATAAGAGTATATGCATATGTATAAATATACAAATATATCTATAAAATATAGAACTATTTGTATTATAAATTATATATGTATATGAATATATGACTTAAATATACACATATATAAATACACCTCAATATAGTTATGTATATATGGAATTAAATCACATGTTCATTTCAGAAAAATGATCTTCAATTTCCTTTTCTCATTCTTCTTTCTCTGGGGGAAGAGGTTCCTCGTCTTCAAATCGGAATACTAAAGGAAGTGTTTCTTTGACAGAAACATGTTCCTTCTCTTCTGGAGGGGTGACGTTATTACGATCATCGACATTTTTTATTGAATCAACAATAAACTTCATAAACTCAGACTCTTCAAGAATCTTCTTCGGATTCTTTCAAAGAGCATTAGTTGAAGATTTGAATTCCGACTTAGAATATAAGGTTGTATCAGTAAACTCTTTGGATTTGTCCCTCGTCCTACACATGTTTGAGTTAGAAGAAGCAACCTCGTCTGCTGCATTCTGTCTCACCCTATTTCGAACAAGCCGAAACAGTTCACAACATAATACGGCTGCCACTCTGTTTTTTTGGAAAGAATCATTTTGTTTTGTCTTAGAGTCACCACCTAAATTTAAAGGAAAATATTAGGAAAACCATTTTTTAAATAAATGTAAACTCTGTTTGATTTGTGAAACCAGTGAGATTCTGAGTAAGGGTTTTGGTTACTCGAGGGGAAGGTGTTAAGCACCCCTCAGAGCCTATCCGGAGATAGTCCTTGAACTCAATTTAGGAAAAATATGATTAGAAAAACTTGTTTATTTATTTGCTTCAAAAATTAAATGATAAGTTAATTAGTTAGTTTAAGAAAAGAGTACACTACAAGGTACGACATATGTATGTCTTATAAAAGAGTAGTATGTTAATCATATTGTAAAATAAATAAATAAGTATACTTAAAATGTATGATAAATTCATATGTAAAAAATATATTTGTATCATAATAAACTTATCTTAAAAATATGTAGATGTTGAATTTGCGAAAAACTGTCATCTTATTAAGACGCAAAATAAAAATAAGATAGTAGTTGAGTGTAAATATGTGTAATTTGTATGAAAATTCATAAAATAGAATTTCCTAAAAATTAAAATAAATAAATAATAATTATACTAAAATTTTGTGATCTAAGATAGTAGTTGAGTGTAAATAGAGTTTGTGATATAAAATTTGTTTAATATAAAGTATAGTATATAATGTAAGTTGTTTTAAAAAAATATATATATATATGTGAATGTTTATTATTTTATTTACATGTAGAGATAAGTTGACATTTGTAAAAGTGAGATGTAGTAAAATGATATGTGTATTCAAGTGTAGGGATTTATAAATTCTATAAAAATATATAAGTAACATTGGTAAAAGTGGTAGTAGAGTATAACAAAATAATAGGTCATGTGTAGAGAATAATAAATCTAAAATATAAAATTTATACCTTTATGTGTATGATATATATATATGTATGTACCTTGTATTTGCAACCTGTTGGCATATTTAAAATTTGAAATAGCATGTTAAGAGATTAGAGTTTAGAAATATTTCATTCAAAAGTAAGAATAGACATTATATTTTATAAAGGGGTGATAAAAAAAAAATAGGCCAACTTTCCTAAAAGAATATATATTTTGAAAGGGTGATTATTTTAGCCTTATATATCGTTAAAGGTGATTATTTTTAAAAAAAAACTAATTTTCAAATTCATTTGGAAATCCCAACTTATGAGTTTTATTTTTTCCTACTTAAACACCTAAATGAATATTATTTCACGCTTTTGAACTTCATTTGGACATCTTTTAAAACTATAAGCCCTTCTTTTCAACTTAAGAAGCCTAAAAGAATGTAATTAGTTAAAATGCTAACCCATTTTTTAAGAAAATATCTTTGTATCATTTGTTCTAAAGGTGTCTCAACTAATTTCATAAACAAATAATATTAGTTCACGTAAAACAAGCTTCAAAATAAAAGACAAACAATATATCAAAGCTTGTAAGTAAAGGTTGGCCAATATATCCAAACAATATAATTAAGACTCGAAAAGAGGAAGACTAAGAAATATTGGACTCCTAATTTGCGAGGCTCCAAGCGTTGCGATGATCCTAATTTGTTGTTGGCCTAATATTTTAGGCCAATAACGAGTTTCAAAGTAGAAACTCCAGCCCTCCAATTGTACATGAAACATAAGGGGAAAAAAAAAGAGATTAGGAACTTAATATTGAGACAAAGAATCGATCAAACAAGTATGTGAACTTGACGTGATACCTATGAATACAAGTTATATTCCAAAAAAATAAAAAAAAATAAACAATATGTCATAAAAGAGCAGCAAACAAAGATGTGATATTATACTCAAATGAAGTATGTATTTCCCTCTTAAATCATGCGAGAAAGCAATCAACATGTGTTGGTACAAAAAGGTCCGCCTTTCTTCTTATTTAAGAAATATTTGTTTGTCATGTGAGGAATGTAGGTAAAAAAAAAAAAAATTGATCCTTTCAAATAGTAAATAGATAGAGCTTAATTAAGATAAACTCAATTCGATTAAATTATAAGATGAAATATAAGTTATGAATAAGCTGAAACATGAAGGCCCACTGTTATTGACATAATATTTCTAAGGTTTCTTGGAGTAAATATCTCACAATGGCGTAAGTAGATTTATCATGGAGAGATGGTGCATAATTCAAGAAAAAGTGCAGGCATATACACTCTTAAACATATTTGTCCATTAATTCAGACTCTGTTTGGAGTACTTATTAAGTTTGAAAGTGAAGAATTAACATGACTGAAAATTTAACAATGCAATGTTCAACCATTTCCATCAATGCTTTCTTGAAATTAAGTTTAACCAAAGGATTACTCTAGAGATACGACTTTCAAGCTATAACGCATTCAAAAGAGACGAAGACGTACAATGATTCAGCTTAATATGCAAACATTATATTAAGGAAAAATATTAAGATCAGATTTTCCCTTACCCGTAGCCCCTTTTAAGGAAAACAATAATAAGATCAGCTTGGGAAAATCTCTTTTTTTTTATTTGTGTCAACAACTTCTTCGGAGCGAAGCCAATCATCAAGGTTTAGGAACAGAAAATACTCAGGCTGTTATAATCAAGTAACTTTGAAGAAAATCAGGCAGTTTAATTCTCACACACTCAGTTTATGGAGAGTAGATTCCTAAAAGAACTAATGAATTCAAACTCTAACGAAACTTCATACCAGCAACTCAACGAGTAAACATAGAAACTAACTTGACAGATACCAAGAGGAAGATTTAAATGATCACATATTTTCAGAAACCGAAAAATAAATAAATAAAATAACGACGAATACTGACCTTGTGTAGAGCAGCAAACTAGAACTTCAAAGCCAAGAGATTTAAACTTCGAACTTTCTCAAACTCTAATTCAAAAAAAGGAAAAATAGAAGGACTAGAAAAAGAAGAGAATTTTTGAACTCTAAAAAAAACTTGAAGTGTGTTGCAATATTTGCTCTTTTGGATAGTTCTTTGAATCTCCTGGATGATTGTTGGATTGCTCTTGGATCCGTTTTTTCTCCATCGTTGTTCGAGAACCCAAGGGGTCCTTTATAGGCAATTTTGGAGAGGCTTCCATTCTCATACCCATAAGATTAAGGGTGAGATAAATCAAAATCTAATGGTCCTTTGTGTCCTTCACTTTTCAGGTGGAGTAATGGCGGTGGAGGGGCTTTTGAGGTCTACCATGATTCAGAAAAGATGATGGAAGAGATGTAAAGTTGACATGAGAAGAATATGATTGATGGACGGCGTGGGGAGATATATTGATGACCACCGGAAATTGTCATTTTTCGGTGGTCTGTAGGCGAAAACGTTGACAGAGGAGTGAGAGATCGATAGGAGAGGAGAGGAAAAGAGTTTGATGGGAAAGGGGCGATTTTTGGGAAGAGAAAATGTATGGGGAAGGAGAAAGTTCTGGGAAAAGTATGCGGCTGATGGGAATTGTACTTATTTTGGGAAAAGATGAAAATAATTTGGGATTTAATTTGGGCCGTCCGATCGTTTGATCGGACGGTTAATAAAAATTAAGGAGTTTTTAAAATAATAGTAATAATAATTATATATATATATATATATATATATATATATATATATCTCTCTCTCTCTCTCTCTCTCTCTCTCTCTCTCTCTCTATATATATATATATATATATATATATATATATATATATATATTAAATAATGATAAAATCTTAATTAACTAGGACCATTAGATTTAATCGTAGGGTCAAGATTTTAGCTAAAGAAGCACAATCCATGTGCTCGCCTACATGGCATACACGGATTGGCCAGTTTAAGGAGACTTGGATTGCCAAAATTGCTCAAATAAAAATCATTTAAATTTTAACTACTTCTTTATTAAATAGTCATATTTGATAAAAATTAGTCACTCTTAAAATTAAATTAAGATAAATTAGTAACTCATTAATTAATTAAGCTTTCTAATTTTGAACAATGTACGAAAAATATCTATTGCGACAAAGGAATTATATTTGAACAAAAAATAGATTCAATTCTTAAGAACAACATTTATTTTTATTTATTTTTTTAAAATGAGAAAGTAAGTAGTAAGATATATATAATATATTTAATCTTTATAAGAAATAACATTTATGAAATAAATTTATCAAGTCAAATAAATAATTAAAAATCTTTTTGTATTCCTATAAAAAATTCATAACATATATATTATTATTATTATTATTATTATTATTATTATTATTATTATTATTATTATTATTATTATTATTATTATTATTATTATTATTATTATTATTATAGTTATTATTATTATAGTTATTATAGTTAAATGTGGAGAGCCAAAATTGGGTGTCAACACATTCAACATATGAGATGCCTTATCCTCAATGATTACAACATCATGATCACTCTTTTCCTCCTCATCCTCATCCTCCTCTTCCTCCTTCTCCTCTGCAACGTTAACAACATCAGGTTCAGTCTCCTCTTCCTCCTCAGCAACGTTAACAACATCGGGATCACTCTCCACCACCTCCTCCTCCTCCGCAATGATAACAACATCAGGATCACTCTCCACCTCTTCCTCCTCCTCCGCAACGTTAACAACATCAGGATCACTCTCCACATCCTCCTCCTCCTCTGTAACGATAACAATATCAAGATCACTCTCCTTCTCCTCATCCTCCTCATCCTCCGCAACGTTAACAACATCAGGTTCAGTCTCCACCTCATCCTCCTCATCATCAACATTAACAACATCAGGATCACTCTCCACGTCATCCTACTCCTCTGTAACGATAACAGCATCAAGATCACTCTCCTCCTCAACAATAACAACATCAAAAACAGTCTCCTCCTCCACAACGTTAACAACATCAGGTTTAGTCTCAACCACCTCCTCCTCCTCCTCCGCAACGCTAACAACATCAGGTTCAATCTCCACCTCCTTCTTCTCCTCCGCAATGATAACAACATTAGAATCACTCTCCTCCTCCTCCTCCTCTTCCTCCTCCTCCTCCTCCTCCTCTTCCTCCTCCTCCTCCTCCTCCTCCTCCTCTTCCTCCTCCTCCGCCTTCTCAATGACAACATCAGGATCAGTCTCCTCCGACGATGAATCATCATTATCAGACACTTCCTCAAAAAAGGTTGATTTCTTTCATACTCTTGTGAGTTCTCTGAGCCTGCAGATGACACATAAGTTCAATAATTTAAGAGTGAATCATAAATAAATTGGATGGAAGATGTATTTACAAAAATATTTGAAAAGATAAGTGCTTGACAGAACAAAACTCGTATACTTACAAAATCAGGGAAGATGTATTTCATCTCCAAATGGACATATGAACAAACTAAACAAATGAGTCCAATTTGTTCATCTAGCTTAAGCTTATAGTTCCCCATCTGACACTCACTTAGTTTTTCACTTTGCATCGGCGAAACTGATGGATTCTGGAAGTGTTTGGATTGGTTTAAAAGTTTGTCAACTCTACTTTTAAGTCAATTTTTTACTTCTGGAAGTGTTTGACAAATATAAAAATAACTTAAAATAAGTAAAAAAAAATGACTTAAGATAAGTTAGAAAGTGCTTGGCAAGGTTAAAAATAATTTAAAATACGTTTAAAATGACTTAAAATAAGTTAAAACCCAAAAGTAGGTCTCCCCCTACTTTTTATTTTTTTTACTTAGAAGTCATTTAAGTTTGACTTTTTATTTGACTTAAAAGCTACTTTTCTAAGCCAATCCAAACGGGCTCTAAGCATAATCATAAAGTAAAACAAATAATGAAAGTCATCTTGAAATCAGTGTATAAATATCACATGTGAAGCCGCTTTCAAAATATGAAGGTAAATCTAGTTTTGTAGTCCTGAATTAAAAATAAAGCTAATATGTCATGTCTACGCAATCACGATGATGATACAAATACATAAAAATTTATAATGACTTTACTGTGGAGTTTCTCAAAATCGACATAAATCATGTGAGCAACATGGAGTCCAACATCTAATCCAGTTGGGAGGGTTGGTCTATACTTTACCAGGGTATAGTACCTATCTATCTAATGTGGATCCATTAACTGCTAAAGGAGTTGACCAACAAGGTGTCATACTCAAATTCCACAGTCTCACGTAGTTATGGGACTTAGATTTTCTAAATTTGCATTCTTTCAATAATAAATAATCCTCTCAAAATAGTCTCTGTATATTTATATTCTCATAAAATAGATAAATTGTTTGTCTGCCTGAATAAAGTGTGAGACTAAGCTTAAAGCTGTAAGATAAAGCTCAAATCTTTCTTCCTAAAATTATATAATGAAATCTCTCTCTAGAGCATATCTTTCAAATCATGTTCTTAGAAATTTCTAAAACATGCTTAGCTTGAAGATTCTCAAAAATAGCCCCCATAATAATATGAAGGCTCTAAAATTATGCTTTGAAATATAAAGTTCAAGAATCATGAACAAAAGATCATGTCAAGAACTAATAAAGATGACAATGAAAAATCTTTGCTAAGCACAAAAAAAAAGGTACAATAGTCAAGACTCCATAATCATGAATAAATAGTTCAAGAAATAATGTAATTCAGATCATAGATATGGTGAATTTGAAAGTGGGTTTGATAACCCTAACTACGGAATTAACTTCATGAAAATTGAGAAGTTTTGGACATGAGAATGAAAGAAATTCCTCATTGAAGTCCTACATACCTTAATTTTGAAGTTTAAGAAAGAATCATGATTTAAATCTCTAGAATTCTTGTAGATCTTGTTCTTTGAAGTGATGGGTAAAAATAGGAGAAAAAATTATCGTAACTTATAAAACAAATTGAATATTACTTTAGAGAGAGGTTAATAGACGAGGGTTGACATTATGGGATGAGGAAAGGACGAAATTACCCCTTCTAGAACGTGAAAAGAAGAGAAAACTAAAAGAATTTCAGTGAACATGCGCGATCGCGCACCTGGAGCCTAGGTCGCACACCTGGAGCCTAGGTCGCGCGGTTGTTCGCGCAGCCTTGGCAATAGCACTGGTCCTACCGCACAGTCACCTAGTTGGCGTCCTCTTCGCGCAGGGGGTCATGTAAAATGAGAATATTTTTTAGCACATAACATGAATTGACGAATGATAAAAGGTTTTGGAAAGAAAACTTCAAGACCTTTCATTTATTAGGCCACAAAATTTTTCATATTATAAGAGTCTCTTATGACCTTAATTCACATCGAATACACTTCTCACACTTAAAAACTGATCTGAACACATATATATACAATTAGAAATCATCGGGTTCGAGCCTATATGCATACGGAATAGTTTAGATTTTTACTTAGAAGTTACGGAGTGTTATACTATTCAATCTCGATCAACTCAAAATCACCTATAAATAGTCTCAAATTTTAGATATGAAATCATTTCGATGCTTTGAATCTTTTAATAAACGTGAATTATTAGTTCCATCTCCAAGCTACTGACGGCCTTAAAAATACCGCTAAATAATACAAACTAATCTTAAAAACACCCCTCCCATGCCATGTACACATGCATGTTATTTACGCGCGTACACATGACATTTTTTAGTTGATATGACATACAATAGATATATATAAAAAAAAAATAAAAAAAAATTTATTCTAGTATTTTCACTTCTTTTCCACACTCAAGTTCTCTTCCACTTCTGCAGGACCTTGGAACGAATCAAGTTAGTGGAAACTTGGTATCATGGAGAAGTAAGAAACAAAAGGTTGTATCTCGGTCCAATGCAGAATTCAAGTAGAGAGCAGTGACACATTCTACATGTGAAATCATGTGGATACACCATTTTTTAACTGAAATTGGATTGAAGTTCTCCTTCATCAAAACTTTGGTGTGATAATAGGTTGCGCTTCATATTGCTTCAAATCTGGTATATCATATAAGAACGAAACATATTCAGGTTGATTGTCATTTTATTTTTGAGAAAATTCAGGAAAACTTAATTTCTACGGGCTACGTGAACTAACCCCAAACTGAGACAGTAACGTAGAAATACGATGTTGGTGTAATTTTCAACCAATTGCCCTGTCTTGTAAACAGGGGACTGATACGTAGAGAAAGGAAGACAAAAAAAAGTTGGAATTTGCTCACCATGAAGTTAGCTATCAGATAATGTGCATGGTAGCATGGAATACATGATCGAGTTGGAGCCAATATTGTAGCTTCGATACAAACGGGGATTGAAGTTTGTATTACCAATTTTTTCCATAGCTTGAGGTAAGTAATATTTCATTGTCGACCTCGTCATATTTTATTTTGAGATGGCTGAAGACTTGCAAGAATGATCATTGGATGATTTCGTCATAAACAATATTATGTGTACAACGATCGTCATGGTTAGCTGGTGTGGCCGGACGAATGAGCACTTTAACGGAACTTGAACATTTAGCTCTTGATAAGGCAACATAAAGTTCGCCCTTTGAAAAAACAGCTTCTCATAAGTAAATTCCAACAAAATAAAGTGTTTGACCTTGTGCCTTATTTATAATCATAGCATAACATAGTTTTATTGGAAATTGTGTTCGTTTAAATGAAACTGGTGATCTTTTATGAGCTAACGATATTAATGGTATTCTTGAAATAAATACACGTGTGTATTTAAAATCACCTGCAGCTATTTTAGCACCGATAATATGTGTTTTACTATTTAAAATCACCTGCTGCTATTTTAGCACTGATAATATGTGTTTTACTATCACAACATGTTAATCTTGTATCGTATACATAAACCTTCCTATGGATTCAAATTTTGTAGTAATATGATGACACAATTCTTTGTTAAAGTTAATTTATAAGAAGGCAAACCATCAGGATTTAAATTGTGTAATAGATCTTCATAGTTAGTTTGATCGTTAGGCTCAATAGTTTCGTCAATACCAACAAATGTAGTTGCTTTCTCTGGAAACTTTGCAATAAGCATGTTAAAAACTGGAAAAGTTAATCTTCTTTTTTTCCATTATGAACAACGGGAAGTGTTTGTTTTAAAATCTCCTCCAAAGACGACTACTTTTGCACCAAATACCATGTTTGTATTCATAAGAACTTTTAAGAGTGTGTTAAAAACTTCAAGCATTTTCTTTTTATAAATAGTCACTTCATCTAAATATTGCCCCCATACTTCCACTACTTCTCCTGTATTTCGTCTTTTATAAATAGGATAAGAATCACTGTAGTTTGATGTCTAATCAGAAAATTTCTTCGGATATTTAAACTTGCAATAGCTTCTTTTTTTTGTTACTTTTATGGCCTGAAAAAAATAGAAAATTTTGGGTTTTTGGTTAAACTTTTTTGGCCTGAAAATTGAATGGTGCAGTAGCTCAAGAACACAAAGAAGTCTGAATCTGAGTAAATTTCAGGAGAAAACTTGAAAAGATTGGATTTGGGCAAGAGCTCAAAGAATACGCAAAGGAATTAGGGTTTGAAATCTTCATTTTTGCGCCTTCCAGGAAATAAAAACGATGATTCTAATGAATCGGAGACGCAGATACCTGAAATTCTTCTGTGTATAACTTGTTTTCTGATTTGTATACGTACAAGAAGATCGAGTAATACGTATCTTGATTCAGTTCCTTGATCTTTTTGGGGCTTAGAATTCGAAATTTTGTATTGCCGCTCCTCTGTTCTGTAATTTAAGCTTCAATTGTGGCGATGGTACTGATCAGTTCAGAACAGAGGAGCGGTAATACAAAATTTCGAATTTTAAGCACCAAAAAGATAAGGAACTGAATCAAGATACGTATTACTCGATCTTCTTGTACTTATACGAATCAGAAAACAAGTTATAGATGCTGTAATTCTCCGATCATTAGGAAAATTATCAGATTCCAGAAGAATTTCAGGTATGTGCATCTCTGATTCATTAGAATCATCGTTTTTATTTCCTCGAAGATGCAAAAATGAAGATTTTAACCCCTAATTCCTTTGCATTTTCTTTGAGCTCTTGCCCAAATTCAATATTTTCAAGTTTTCTCTTGAAATTTACTCATATTTATACTTGTTAGTGTTCGTGAGCTACTGCGCAATTCAATTTTTCGGGCCAAAAAGCCAACTTTTTCTATTTTTATTTCATGCACAAAAAGAGCTTTGGATATAAATAGATGTATCTCATTCTCCAAGTCTTTGAATATCGAGCAGTCGTTGTAATACATCCATTCTAAACAGATTCTGGTTAAATGAAGCAAAATCCAATCTTTGGCTTTCAACCTTTATATATTTGTCCTATGTTGACAGCTGCAAGTTTTTTGCCTTCTTGCCATTGGGATATAAATTATCTAGCCAATGGTACATTCGACCCTGAACTCTGAATGTGTAGGTACCACGATTTTTTCGGGCTAAGTCTGCATCACAATTTACACCACGTGATGTAAATGCAAATAGGTTATTGTATATTCTAATGTATGTTCCAAAGTGTCGAGATTTTTCATCATCTCTTAAATAAAGATCACATAACTTAGTTGGCAGCCTGTGTGAAATGATCTTAACTGTACCAGTGCCACAACAAAATCAAGGAGATTTTTCATACTGAATTTTTTTCGCAAAACAGAATTCACAGTTGTTTTGTGAGCTGGATATATTAAAAGGGGTAAGGAATGCAAGAATAAGAACACAGAAAGATAGTAACTGAGCATGAGACTAACACATATGTTGAGCATCGACTGTCTTAGCTGTACTTTGTTTATCGTTAGAACCACCTGATGTTGAACCTAACGTAGGAGTAGAGTATGTATGAATATTGATTAGTCCTGTAGATTACATCAAAGGTTCAGTAACTCACCTTTCTCATAAATGGAAGGAGGATTTCCCTTGGTAGAAGTAGAAAATACAGGAAGCACTGTAAACTCGCCGACTGGATATATATAGAGTAAAAATTACACAAAATATTGGAAACATTTAGTTTCAAGTAAAAAAGTCAGGTACAGAGACAAATAGTTATGTGTACAAAATAGTTGTGCACAGTATTTAGAGGGTAACAAATTCTAGACTTGATTCACCAACCTGTTTTGGGTGCAGAGCAGGTGTTTCCTATGTTGACAGTGGACGGACAACATCGTTAGTTCACCAGAGATTGTAGAAGTTGTAATTTGGAGAGGACGACTTTCCAGCATTTGGTCTCTCGCTTGTTGTTGCTGGGACGATGCATTCTTTTCAGTTGCCATGTTAAGTCTATAAACTGTATCAAGTTCAATTCCAATTTCTTCTCAGCAGCCTTTACAGTATAGGAGATTATGGGTAAAGAACAGATCAAATGCATGGTGGGAACAATAATACATCAGTTTTGATTACGCAGAAGAGGAATCAAGAAAGCTTTTTGTATGAGCAAAGCTACATCTGATTTTATATGTTGTGAATTGGAATCAGTAGTGACTAAAGAACATACAATGCTATGTCTAGCGATACCTGTTTGCCAGCGTGTAGCTGCATACATTTGGAGATTGGCTGCAGGGGAGTGCTCGAGGCATGCACAGCTATAAAAGGGAATTTGTACAGTGGTTTGATGGCATGAAGATAGAGGAAAAAATTAAACTCGAATTTGAAATCCTTTCTGGGATCCAAAATGTGAGTGGAGCAATGTATACGATGCATATACCAATTATTTCATCAAAGGAAAGTGTGGCGGCTTATTCCAACAGAAGACATAATGAGAGGAATGAAAAGACTTGTTACTCAGTTAGAGTAGAAGGGGTTGTTGATCCTAAAGGGATTTTCAACGGATGTTTGTATGGGATGGCCTGGTTCAATGACAGATGATCAAGTCTTAGAACATGCTTTTAATGAGAAAGTTAATGATGTTTAAATAGTTGCTGAAGAAGCATTTATGAGATTGAAAGCAAGATGGAGTTGTTTAACATAAAGAACAGAAGTGAAACTTTGAGATTTCGCCTACCAGAATACCGTACCTTACTTAGTCTTCTTCTAGAACTGAATTCTCTAAAGCTTAAGTAGAAGCACCCCTCGGGAGAGGATTGACTTCTCTAAATGTAAAAAGGAGAAAAAAAAAAAGCAACTTCATCTGTATGTGGCACTGCTTTTTTGGGCTTATCTACTAGACAGATTTTAGCTTTCACGTGTCGAGGAGAGGTGAAGAATTAAGGTTGAATTTGTTTGATGATGAAATGGTTTTAAAAAAGGTTGTGAGATCAATGAGTGCGATAAACATGAAGGATGTTCCCTGTCATCCCATTTAAATTGAGCAGGAAGTGTATTTTTAACTTACAAATCTTCAACTTTCGCCAATATTCTATCCAACCACAATTCATGTTCAAACATATTTAAGTTTGAAATAACATAATCACACACACACACATATATATATATATATATATATATATATATATAACTTGAATTCATCACACATAACCTAAACATCTAAAGTTGTGGCAAGCTAATCAATACAACAATAATGGATTGAAAAGAAAATTTGATTTCCATCCAAAGCTAATCAATTCGCAGTGGCAAAACTAAAATAAAACTAAAATATATCTTTTTTTCGAAGCTAACTTCTTCTTCTTTTATTGTTACTTGAGCTTCACAAGAACAATAATCAACCCATCGTCATCCATTCGAACAGCCCAGATTTGAATCCTATTGCCCTTTCTGATTTTATTATGGATACGCATTTTAGTCCACTTCCCATGCAATACATAACACACTCATCTTAGATTTTTCTTCATCTCCCATCTTCTCAATTTCTGGAAGTTCTTTTTGCTGCCAGTACTACACATACATAGATACTCTTCTTCTTCATCTGTTAGAAATTTCTCAAACGATTTGTGTTGTTGGTATGGAGAGACGATTGTGAGTTTCACTAGCATCCGTGTAGTATATTTTTTTTTCGATAACAAATTTCACCTCTTTTACATTTTTTTTTTCCAACTCATTGATTCGATCATTTACAATTTGGGGCATTGGAATGATTTTGAATTTCCTCTTTTTTGTAACAATACAATTTTCTTCTTTTTTCCTCAACTTTCGTGACTATTTCTGCTTTTTTTTCGTGAATTTCAGAAGCACGTTCACAAACAGCAGCCAATACGAATGGGGATGAACTTTAATATCTCCATCGTGATCACTAACATCTTGAAATTATTAATGGGACTAACAATCTTAGTATATGCAAGGAAAAAGATTTCTTACAAACATATTTTTCACAAAATTGTTTGTTAAATAGACAAATCCAGTTCCAAGTTAAACCCAAATTAGAACTCCCACTTATACAAGAAAAAGGAAACAGTTTAATCAATTACAAAGTAAATAAATATATCTTGAAAACCTATAGGGGTTAGAATTACCTTTTATATCCTAAATAAACGGATAATAATAACTTAGAAATACACAATAATATGGATTCCTTCTGGACTCTCCAGAGTTTTGGCGGGAAAAATGCGACATTGGATAACCACAGGGAGGGGAGGTCAGTGTAATTCGGCAAAACCTAAAGGCAGGTCTCTGGAATTATCGCTAATAATAAAAGTAAATAATAAATAAATGAAATTTAAAGCTAAATAACCATTTTATCTGCAGCAAAAAAAATAATGAACCCAAAATGGAAGGGTTGTGAACTTAGAATTTTCTCTAGCACCAGAAAGGAAAAAGAATTCACACTTGCTCTCCAGTGAAAAAAACTAGAATCACATACAAATGGACTAACAAGAATATGGTCATTGGAACAAACCTCCAATGCCTTTTGCTATTATCTCCCTAACAATCAATTAAGCTTTACAATGATTATGTTATTAGAAACATATATATTTCTTCTTACAAATAATGCAAAACAAACAAAAAAAGGAACTGCTGATCACCAAAATAGAATTGGACCAAGCATTAATCAGGAGCAACTTTGGGAGTAATCACATTATGGTGCAGTTGCATTTGGATTCCAGCTTTGGAGGATTCAAGCTGTCACCTTTAATAGGAGCTCCAACAATGCGAGTTGTGGATTTGTCCGTTTTCTCATCACTTTCCGTGTTGGTGTTGCTTTGAGGAGGCTTTGTGTCCACCTCCATCTTCTGCCTAGCCTTTTGAGAGGACTTAGAATTACGTCTACCTGAGATTCTACCATGCGGATCCCTTCTGTCAGAATTCGCTTTGCCCACTAAAGTCACTGTGGGCCGTGAATCTTTCAACAGAACTGAATTCTCTTTTTCAATAGCTATGTTTGCAGCTCGATATGCAAGGTCATGTACAATGGAGCTACAAAACAGTATTGTATCAGTAGCTTCTTCTAGTGTCAAGCTTCTTGGCTTGTTACCTCCTTGCCCCTCCAGTGTAACAGTTGATTCTTCTGTCACAAGAGATGAAACTTCAGATACAAAAGAGCAAACTAGTGGATGGACACACCTTAAACTTTTAAAGGGATTGTAGACTTGATTTCCTATGTCATTTGGTTCACCAGTTGATACACATTCCAAAAGGGAAAACCTTTACAAGAAAATGCATAATTACAACACAAGAAATATACATACCACGAACGATGTCCTTGTGATCAATGGAATCAGCTCTGTCAACAGATGCTAATATTTCATTGCCATCACCAGACGCTGCATGCAAGAACTGCTCATTTAATTCATCTATGCTGCTCTCTGAGAGCAAGGAGCAAACATCAGATTGTAAATCAAGAGAACCGACATGTCCATTCTCAATTTCCATCTCAGATATTGCATGTAGTGAGCTCTGATTCAAAGAAGCCACAATCTCTACTTTATCAACCGAAGAATTTGACACATCTTCCTCAATAGGATGGGTTTCAGAAATCAAATCACAAGGATCCACATTCATAGAATTGTCCGAGTTTGCCAAATTTTCACAATTCATATATGAACTGGACTCCTCAAAATTTGCAACTGATGGCACAGATCCTGTGTGATCCACTGACTTGGAGGCAATTCTACAATTATCATCACTCTCAACCTCAGCGCGCAAGTTGTCCACTTTTGTATTTTCTCCATGCAGCAGTTCTTTTTCTCGATCAACATATGCTACCTCAATATTCTTTTGCAAGTCGGCAGAAGCAGACGTTTCGAAGGACTCTTCAAGGGAACTTGTCACAATGCTTAAAGTTTGTACTGCATGACTTGAAGTTCCAGACAAGGATGAGTTGGAGCTTTGGAGCTTTCTATCATTCTGATTCCGATAATTTTCCAAGTCAAGTTTCCTTCCACTTAATTGCCGCTGGAAGCGAGTTTCTGTATGACCAGTGGAGCCCAAATCAATGGATGATGAAGCAGATGCACTACCATATCCAGTGGAGCTTCTCAAGCTGTTGTTCACTGCATCTCGTACATATGATAAATCATCATAATTTATATTAGTGGCAGAAAGTGTCCTGTTCTGAACAATGTTCCCCTTCCCACTACTTGATCTATTCAGCAGCACTGAAATACCTGCACCCTCTCTTTTTTCAGCATTCTGAACAAGCTTGGAGCTGATATCAGCATTAGGTGACTGAGCCATTGCTTGGTGGCTTTGCACACCTTCATTTACATTTGACTTCATAGATGCCTTCTCACCCTCATCTGGACTCAATCTATGATGATATTCCCCTAATCTGTTATTGCCAGTTGCATCTGAGGAATCATGTGAATTCCCAGCTGATTCAAAACCATCAACTGATCTGTCTAGGATTGCAGTCAAAGTTTCAGGAGAATTCTCACCAACTACCGAACTTAACGGGGGAGTAGCACACAATTGTACTTCTGAATGAACACAATCTGGACAAAGCTTCAGATCCCCATCAAATGATTCAGTGTAATAGTACCATTGACCACATCTAGAACACAGTACAGCATCTTCTAGAGCATTCACGTGGGACATGCTTGCATTCGAGTTCAAGACTTCCACATCTGCTACCATTTCCAAAGCTTTATCATGTGGACTGCAAATTTTAGAGCCAACAAGTAGAGAATCAACCCTCAGGTCACCATCAGGATCACCAAGTTGACTGCAAGAGGCCCTATCATAGATTTGTTTCCCAAGATCTTCACTTGTAGAATCAGCCTTGTCAAGGACAAAAACTTCATCCTGCAAATCAGCATATGTTGTCTTTACTTGATCATTACCTATATCCTCCTGGTTTTGTTCACTTCCTTCATTGTCATGTAGTCCCGTTGTAGCTTGATCAGAGCTAGCATTACTGCTACTTGTGATGGAGGAGTTTCTGGAAATTATAGAATGATGAGTGGTGCTTGTTTTTCCAGCGTAGAAGGTTGAACTAGGGACACTTGATAAGAGAGGCCTGAACATATTCTGGGGAGATTTCCTGTGATCCTACAATAGGATTGTTGACTTCAGAAACATATTTTCTCAACAGATTGAACAAGAAAACCACACATTCCCATGCAGTGATTATATAGCTGCAATTGAGCGCTTGTATTTCCTTAATCAGAAAAATTAAGCGCCAAGTTCCCAGCTATAATTTGTTCTATTAAATCCAACACTTTGGTGTTAGGGAAACAGTGTTGGTATAGGATATCTTTAATTAGTATGCAAGGAGTTTTACTTGCACTCGGGGTGATACAATGGATTAACATCTTAAGTTTGCATGTTTGAAGATTGTTACTGGCTAGCCATGCCACACTCACCTGGTCACTTCCCGAAAAGAAGCAAAAATGCTAATGAAGGAAACATGACAACAGGGAAGAACAAAGTAAGTGCAAACGGCTAATATTCTGCTCACTTTCTTAGGAGGTGTGCTAGCTTTTGTTTGGTCGGGTAACACTCCAATAGCAGAGACCACCTAACTCAATTTTTAGTTTGGGGTGACTTATTTACTGCCTCGATGTAAAGAGACGTGCCTTTAACTACAAGTGAAGCGTCAAGGAACAACCAAATGATGCAGAGACGCCGAAACATTAGTCCAAACACAGTCTATGCCTCACATGCTCATGCAAGATCTGTATAACAAGATTACGGTTATTTGAACTGTTACTCTTCTATTCTATGACATATAACTAGTCCTTCAAATAAACTACAGCAATAACCTTTATTTATGATGATGCATGATTCTCCGACACTAAAGATGCTAGACCTGAATTTGAACCTAGAAAATAAATAATGCAACGCATCGATCTTTCTTACCAATAATAAATGTAACACACCAGTAGTTCTTCATCTTTAGCAGAATTTTAAGGGGAAAAGAGTTTATTGATAAGTAACTTTAAGGAACTAGTGTTAGTCGGACTAGTTAATTGTTCTAATATTTATAAACAATAATTAAACTGAACAAATACAATAAATTTAATAAATTAGCCTGTTTTCAGTATGTAGCTGTTCTGATTTTTCAAACAATTAACTACGTTTTCAACTTATAACTCACTTTAAACAATGAGGTTTTCAGAATTTTAATCTAAAAGGGAATAAAACGAGAGTACGATAAAATAAATTTGTTTCTCAACATCCTATCAACATATTAAAAGAATAAAAATAAGTTTGTTTCCTGACAACTTTCTTCTCAAGGAAATTCACTTATTGGAATTCAAAAGAAATATATTCTCAAGGAAATTCACTTACTGCATGTACTTCCCAAAAAAAAATATGCAATTGCATGTATCAAAAGATCCTTAGTATTTGAAATAAGGAAAAAACATAATTTTCCCTACTTGTAATCCAAAGGACAGTGTATTGCCATCAATTTTTTTATGCTTTGCGGACTAATCATAACATACCAAAATGAAAATTGGGAAAATATTTCAGGTAATAGGGTTTAAGGGACGTTCCAAGTTTCCATGGAAGAATAACCAATTATCTGAACAGACAAAAGTCTAAGATGTTTTCTTTATAACCATGGTATCCGGGTTGTCTAATTCTTCGGATACCTAACACTTACCACCAAAACAGGTATTCTCTGTCTTAAGAAATTACCTAAAAAAAATTGTCTCTGATGGGATTTGAATCTGAGACCTCATGCAGTGGCAGAATTTTTCATAAGCAGCGTCGCATTTTATAATAAAACACTACTGTATAACATTATATTAAAAAAAGAACATAATATAAATAAAGCACAATTCACATGTATTACTATAGCTCTCCTCGATGAATTTTCATTTCTGAACACTTTTTTTCTATACAAGGCATCAAAGGATCACTAAAAAAAGTCATCATTCATTTGATTTCGCAAATCGATCTTAATCAATTTTATTGACGAGAAAGAAGATGAAGAAGAAAATATAACACAGCTAACTAGAGAAGCAAGAGTGCGTGTTAGTAGATGTTCGTTATCTCATTTAGATTGGTAAAGGTAAGGCTTAGCCCTCCTTACTTGTACTTATCCATGTTGGGCAATTTTTATTTTTATTATTAATAAAAAGCAGTTACACACATTGTCTAGCAATATGAATTCGCAAAAAAAAATTAAAAATTAACTAGGATTGCAACAACATCCTTACTTAAGAAATCTAACATTAACTTGTCGAAAGAATTATGATATGATTTTTTGGACTTATTGGTTCACGGTTTTCTTGACTTATAAGAGGTACAGTGTTCGACCCTGGACAATCCCTTTTGAAGGTGTTGAGTTTCGAAGTCACAACATCTAACCGAAAACTGAGACGCCTGACCAAAAGAGCTGTGTTGCTCTTTGCGTTAAGCAGTGTCACTTTATTTAATTTACCCTTTATTATGATTCCAATTATGCATATATATTTAATAAAGTTTTGGGACAAAGCAGTGACATGTGACACCCCTTGGCCTAACGTAAATCTGCTCCTTCTCAACCCACTTCATTGACTAGGTCACAAAAGACTAACATCCTGTAATCCCAGATCCTGGATGTTGAATAATAGTCCAAGACACAGTGCTACTGTGCTATCAGTGATTCGTTGATAATAGTAAATTACTCCTCTCAGTAAATTTAGAAAATATGAAATACTATGGGGAAGAATATGAATATGGAAAATACCGATTAAAAATCACAAATTTGAAAAATAATAGTGTGCATGTGTCTTCTAAATTATATAATTTCAGAATGTTTCCAGGATAGCTCCTTGGTAAAATGTGGCATATGAAGGAAGATCCTTATCGATGTTTCAAGTATAATGAAAATGTTAATGATATTCAAAGAAGTATTAGGCATCAATAAACCAAAACTTGTAACTTCCAACAACAGTTCATACTTCCTAAAATATCAGTATTTCTTTAAACTTTCTGTTTGGATTTTTGACAACCAGTCCCAAGCATTTGAAAGATGCAACCTAAAGTATACATGACAGCTGTGCCCCCCTTGTTTTTACCCAGACCCCATTTTAGCACAATTTGAACATGATGGTCCCATTTCCAATCAACTGTCCATCCTAGCGACATCTATATGAGAAAACGATATAGAAAACTAATGCCAGGTTTATATTAGTGTTCCACAAATTATGGTAACTATGCAAGAGTAAAGGAAGGTAATATACCATTTGCCGGATTGCCATGTCAAAGGATCTCTTTGGAGCAGAACTAGAGGACACTACTCTTGCTGGCTTCTTTGGATGGCCAAGAGCTTGCTTATTTTGGAATCCACTGATACTTCTTGAACCTGAACGATCTGAACGGCTCACAGGAATGGATTGTAGAGAATCTATGTCGTCATCACCAGACGATGCAACTGAACCTTTACTGTGAGAACTAAAAGGGTCGCGATCATGACTATGTGATGAACTAACACTTCGAGAAGCAGTCGGAGACATCGATTGTCTTCCAGACCTTGATCCACTTCTCGATGCAGGAGAAGACCCCCTCACATAGGAAGCAGGGCGATCACCCAGTGAAGTACGAAGATTGGGAGGTGCCTCCAAGGAAAATCCTGGAATATTTGACTGCCACGCCCTTATCTTTGGTGATGCAGAGTTCCCTCTATTAGTCTTGACAGGAGAGGTGCCCCTCACTTGCGATGGAGCAGCAGTACCACTGGAGCCTGTGCTCAACCTCCGAGGAGTTGGTGTAGACGACCTTGGAGGAGGTGTTGAGAATTTCTTAGGTGAGGGAGACGGTTTCCTTGTCGGAGTAGAATGCCGCAAATTAGGCGGTGGACTTGAATGAGGTGTTGAAGATGGTCTTCCTCTTGATTGATCGGCAGTATAGCTAGACCTAGGAGATGGGCTAAGGCGATTCGGACTGGCACTACCTCTACTACTTCTGTGACTCTTGTCCATCTGCCATTCAATCCATATGAAATTTAATAAATTGATTGTATTAATTAAAACAGAAGCACCATGCATAGATATGGTTAGGTTGCATTTGGTACGTTATTTAACTATAATCATCAATACAGTTCCCAAAAAAGGGAAAGGAAAACAGTTGAATGACTAAAATGCTCACCGTTGATGATCTAGAGATTGAAATGGGTTGGCTTCTAGGCCGGCCCCTCTGCTCATGATTTGTCGGGCGTGTCTCATGACTCTCGTCATCCAAAGAAGGAAAAAGAGGAGTGTCCGGAGGGGTCAATAACCTTTCATCAATAACTCAGCATATTAGATAACATTTCATCAATAACTCAGCATATTAGGCATGAGGGGCATATTGAAGAACTTACACCACCTAACATGTGTGCTAATAAATAAATATATGTCTATGACGAAAATAAAATGCATTTCTTCTTTCTAAAAACTTACTGCAGACTTGCAACGAACAAGCCTATTCTTTCTGGCTCCACAGCTTTAGAATCGTAAACAAAGGGGAGTTTTTTTAACTAAATCAGAAACATGGATAGAAAGATTGGATAAGCACGTAGCCATTAAGCAAACTATGCATTTGAGTTCATTTTCAACATATATGTACAAAATGACAAAATAGGGGAGTAAAGAGTAAAATGCTTGAAAGATAAACATAACCAACCAGTCATAGTCATTCTTATCGCCTTCCGCATTAAGAAGGTCACTACTCTCTCCTCGAGCTGGAATTGATATTCCCAACTTATAATCCGAAAAATACCTCAATTTAGTAGCTGCCAACAACAATGAGCAACAAAAGCAATATAGTCAGGAAAATAAAAGCAAGAGCATGTTTCTGTGCTTGGCAACAAAATAAATTAAAGCTCTAAAATGTAACACATAAATTAATGCATTATCTTACAAAATAAGTCTTCGATTTCATCATTTGATTGAAGCAAGAAACTATCTCTTTCCCTGGTTTGCACCTCATTAAACAGGGCAAGATCATCATCCTTGTCCCTCAAATGAATCCCACTTTCAAGACTGCGCCCTCTCTTGTGATTTTCTGCCCTGAGCTCCCTTCCAGGAGAGCATCTCATGGCCGGTGAAGGAGGCATAACGGTGTCAGCGTCAGGTCACCCTAATACTAATCAGTCAAACTCCCCCAGGAACCCCAAACTAAAACAGCATATTGTGTCCCCCATGAACAATTAAGCAAGATTCTAACCACTTCACCTAGACCCTCTCAACTAACTCAAGTTAACACAAAAATCTCAAAGTGGCAATTCAATTTACTTCAAACTACCTCCTTTACATACACCTGGAACATAAAGGCAAAAAAATAGTCCTTGCCACCTTGCACTGTGTCTGAAAATGATTTCAATTCCAAAATCTAAACTTTTAGCCACTCAGTCAACTCTATACAGAATCTTGGCAACAAAAGAACAGTTCAACTTCAAATACCCAATCACTATAAGCAAATCAAGCAGGAAGTCCCCACACACAAACAAATATGCAAAATTCCACAAGGAGGTATATCAAGAACCCTAACCCAATCACAAATTAAACAAAAGCAAGTCAATTAACAGCTCCACTTGAGCTTACAAACTCATCAAAACTAAAATTAGAACAAAACACTCAAACCCCACTACTCCAATAACACCACAAAGCTTGAAATTTGAAGAAAAATCTGAACTTGAAACAAGAAAAAGATCAAGAAAGAGTGGAAACCCAAAGCTGGATCTGCAAGAATTTGTACAGATCAGCAAAATGCAAAAATGGGTTGTGAAATAATACACAAGTGAACCCAAAAAAGCATTTTTTTTTTACTTTTTCAAGAATGCAGATGAGTTGTTGTGGATCAAAACAAAAGTAAACCCTAAGAAACCATTTTTTCCCAAATAAAAAAAAGTTAACAAGACTGAATTTTGCAGAAGGAATTGATGTTGGTGATGATGAATGAGCAGTGGAAGAGGGTTTTTGGTTTTAGGGTTGAATAGTAATTTACTTCTTTCCTTCTCAGCAACAGCAAGCTTTCCTTTTTTCCTTTCTCTTTCTTTCTGCTATCTGATAGTTCCCTTTCCTTCTTTTTCCTTTTTCATTTTTTTTTTTGTTAATTTTGGATAATTACAGTTAGATAATATTCCATACTATTAGCAGCTAAACATAGATTTATTCTTTTATTTTATTGTGAAGTTTTGAGGTTTTGGTGGAGAGTTTGATGTTCATAGAAAAAAGGTATCAAAAACCTAACATCACAATTCACACGTGAGTTTGTGGATGTGTTTTTATTATAATTATAATTACTATTCCAAGTACAATTCCCTAGGTCCTAGATCACTATTCCTTACATCCTACTAGTAAAACTTAATGCTTTTCTTTCCTTTTTTTAGTTTTACACTCGATGTTCAGAAGCGTTTCATATTGAGAAATTTTTTACATTTAGGGTTTGAAGATGAAATCTCTGATTGAGGAAGGAGCAGTCTCGTTCATTATGGTAAAACTTATGTTTATCATTTGCAAGTTTTAGAGGGTGTTTGAATTGGCTTAAAAGTTGGTCAAATCTACTTTTAAGTCAATTTTTTACTTCTGAAAGTATTTGGCAAATATAAAAAAAATAACTTAAAATAAGTCAAAAATAACTTAAAACAAGTTAAGAAGTGTTTGACAACGTCAAAAATAACTTAAAATAAGTCAGAAATCAAAAGTAAGTATTCCCCTACTTTTTATTTTTTATTTAAAAGTCATTTTAATTTGACTTTTTATTTTTTACTTAAAAAGTACTTTTTTAAGCCAGTCCAAACGGGCTCTTAATTTAATACTCTATCTAATTCATATAAAGTGAATTATTACTGGGGTGGAGCACACCTCTTAATTAAAATATTTAAGGATAAAAATTAAATGTTACTTTTCAGATTATCCCTTTGGTTATTTCTAACTATTCTCCTAAAAATGTAAAGAATTAATGCTTTTCTTTCCTTTTTAAAAATTTTTTACATTCGATGTCCATAAACGTTTTTTACTGTGAATTTTTTCATGTTTAGGGTTTAAAATTGAAATTTCTAATTGAGGAAGGAAACTTATGTTTTTCATTCAATAAGTCTTAATTTAATGCACTACTCATATTAAGTGAATTATTATTGTGGTACAACACAACTCTTAATTAAAATATATAAGGACAAAAAATAAATGTTACTTTTCATATTATCCTTTTAATTATTTTTAAACTATTCTCTTATAAAATGTAAAGAATAAAAAGATAGGGCCGAAGAAGTATTGGGGAAAAGTGATGAGGCGATATATGACATAATTGCAGATGACCTAGGACATACATATTAGCGTAGAAGATAGTGTAGTTGGCTTAACTTGCTTAGAGTAGTTGGTGTTTGACATTGTACCAGTTATAATATTGTGGCTCTTGTTTTTGGTATTTATCATTATTTAGTGTTATTTTCAAATAATTGTCATAATATGTTGTTTATTGTTCTTTATTATTATTACTATTACACTGTTTTGTTGTTATTTTTCCTCTCTCTTGGTAGACTTTACTATCTCCTTGTTACCTGTTATACTGTCTTTCATTATCTTTTTCTTCTTTGACATGTCTTGTCAATATATAATATTATAATATAAACTTATAATTATGACCAATGCCTGCATTTGATTTTGGTTACTAAAATATCGCTATCATTTTTCTTGTTATAAGCAAAAAAGGAACTTAAAAGAAAGATGGCAGTCTTTATAAAATTATGCTACTAGTGGAGTAATATTTAGGGAATAAATGAAAATGTTATTTCCAACTCCAATAATTATTTGTCTAGCTATCTTGCTTCTTTTTTTCTACCTTGAAGAGTTGGTGAAATTATGTATGTGTACATGATAAAAAATATTTGTGGAATTTTTTGTATTGTCTTGCTTCAGAAATAGAATAATTTTGGTTAAAAAAATATTTCTAACAATATAACATTACATGCAACAAGAATGAAATGAAATACCTTATTGACTATGGGATGAGTCTTTAGCCAAATTAAATTTGTCCCTTATCTATGGGAGATGTCCCTTTAAGTATAATTATGAGTACTTTTAGTTCCTTAAATTTGTTAAAGTGGAATGGATTTGGTCTAAATGAATTTCAAAAATATTATATTACTAAAAATACGATAAGACTTTAATAGTTTGACCTCAATTTTCCAATTATTTTTTGATAAAATCGATCGGCTTTTTTGCACCAAAAATTCAAGAAGGAAAAATTTGACTGAGCTTCATCGTTTGAACATTCTACAAGATATTTTTAATAATATCAATTGGGATTGTTCAATTTTATATCTAAAATTTTGAGAAATCGACCAAACTCGATTGATTTTTGGTTAAACATTCAGCTTAACTTTTCAAATAAGCTAATCGAATAAACGATTAAGCTCAATCATTTTTTTATATATATTTTTTGATTTTTGACTCAAATTATCTATAAAAATTGAGATCAAACCGTCCGAGTCAATCGATTTGAAAGTTTGATTTATTTTTTCGATCGTGTTTAGTATATTTTTTTTGGTAGTAATCATTAATTTTAAGTTCATTCTATTAGTATATTTTTTTTGGTAGTAATCATTAATTTTAAGTTCATTCTATTAGTTGAACCAAAAATGCTTCATTTTTTAAGGGATTAAAGATGTTTGAAGTTATATTTAAGAGACAAAAATAAATATTACTTTCATAAATAAAAAATAATTTTAAATTATAAACTCGAGTTTTTAAAGTAGCGATGAATCTATTTTGTCAACTAACTTGATTGTTATATGCTAAATGATGAGGTATTGTCTCATCTGCATAATTGAATAACTAAACTTAGTTATATAGATACAATTTGTAATTAGATTATTACTCCTATATATATTTTAGAAAAATAAAGAGTATCAATTGTACAATATGATTATATCACAAATCCTAAACATGGTTATTAATCCTAACCAGTGGCGGAGCCACCTTATAGTTAGGGGTACCTCTTTAGCGGAATATTTTATTTTATTTATATATGGTTAAAATAATTTGTTAGGTATATATTAGATGTGGAACCCCCTTCGGCTATTTCATATGTCTATTTTTTTAGATTTTGAACCTCTTTATTGAAAATTTTGGCTCCGCCGCTGCTCCTAACCATGTTTTAGTATTTTTAATTTAATTTCTCAATATATTTCTTTTACTTCTCCTAATTATTCATAGCAATGAAGAAGTTGTCCAACGTAAAGTTGCTTAATATATTGAATGATGAAGGCTAATGTATATATTTATTGAAAGTTATCATTATATCTCTAACTTTATACGGTTATTTTGGAATAATAATGATAATATGATAACCATTATTAACCAATTTAGGAAAGAAATAGTACTTGACAAATAACAAGAAAGGACAAATTCTTGTCTACCTTACCAAAAATAAGATAATCTCTTTATACTTTATGATAAACATAATGTCAACACATATAAAGATAGTAATTTTTTTAGCGTACGTATAATATGTGTTAATCAAGGGGTGTTAAAAGAATATGAAAAATCGATCGAATTTAACTGTATTATATTGATTTATATCATTTTTAAATAAAATTATAGACTTTTATTTAAGTGTATAATTGTCCTAAACAATTGGGAAGGTCTTTTTAATTTAAAAAAAAATTAAAAAAATTCCGAACCAAACTGAATAACCTTACATATATGCAAATATATTGTATACATTAACAATATGTTAAATTTAATATATAAATATATTTTGTAGTATTTTTCAAATATAAATGTAAACAAGGTCATAGGCCTTTGGTGATTGGACGGCTTTGGACATTTGCTTTTTAGTTAGTCTTAAATTAATTAGGTTTAAAATTAAAAGATACTATAGTAAAGTACGGAAAAATCTATGCAAATTAAACACTCTTCTAAGTTTAAGATCAAACAATACAACAATAATGTTTTACATTCTTGACTTCTTGGTGAAGAAGTGCTCTTCAAGAACACACTTGCTTTGAGGTGATACCTTAAAGTAAAAAGAAATAAAAAATTAACCGAATCATACTAATATTGAAGAGAAATCGATATGATTGAGATGATTTTTTTTTTAAAAAAATTGCTCATACGTTATAAAATATCCGAAAAATTAGGATGGTATAATTTTTTTAAAATAACCGGCTGAATGTACTAGCCAAGTCTGAGATTACCTCTAGAACAAGTTTGTGCAGTATTCACCCTTTGTTTTTAATATCACCAAAAATAAATAAATTATCAATTAATGTAATCACTCATTATAAGACAAATTTATTGGAAGAACGTATGAGATAATATTCATAATTCATATAGTACTGATTTTGTTTTCATTTAAGTTGAAATAAATTCCATTTAATGTTCTTCATGTTTAAGGAATAAATCAGCAATTATAAACTACCATGTCAATATGGTTTTCTGTGAATATTAAGTATGATTATCATATGGCTAATTTGGAGTAGATGGAAAGAGACATTGAATTGTTTAGTTATAATCCTTTTATTGTTTACTCCTTGTGGAATAGCTATTGTAACAACTAATAAGATGATCAACATATTAAAATTCAATGTCATTGTAATTGGTAGGTAAGGTCATGAGGAGTGCTTGTCTATCTTATCATAAATCATACTAGTACTAGATAATAGACTAATAAGTTTAGTAATCTTTCTCCATCCAATGCCCATGTTAATTAATTAGCCAAATAGAAGTGTGATTGTAATTAAAATATGACATGACAAAATATATATCAACATGGGTGTGGTGTAGTGTGGGACTGCTTCATCCTTAATCAGAGATTTCAGGTTCAAGCCCTGGTAAAGAAGAAATCATGTTGGGAGCGTCACCCCTGAATGAGCCCTGCAGTGCGTGATCTGAATTTAGTCGGGGCTCCAATGAGGGCCCCACTCCCAAATGGACGTTGCAATGCGCGATTCGAATTTAGTAGGGGCTCCAATGTGGGCTCCGGTCATCGGGTGGGAAACAAAAAAAAAACATGACAAAATATATGAAATGTGACATATTTCTTAGGTATAATACAAATGAATTATTTGAATTTGGCCTCAATTGATGAGTAAATAATTCAATTTTGAGAGTGCACATTTCGACATATCAATTCATTTTATTTTTTTTGTGTGTGTGTAGATTGAACACTCCAATTTACTTAAATGATCATCTAGACACCTCCAAAATTTATGTGTTATGACTCACGCCAGTGTCAGGTGTCCACAATGACGAGTTGGAGTGTTTAATTGTCAATTGAGATCAAGTTAAGGTGTCTATATATTCACTCTCAAAATTAGAGTTAATATCTCAAAAGGTCACTCAACTTTGTGAATTTATCTAACAAAGTCATTAAACTTTGTTTTGTATCAATAAAATCACTGAACTAAATTTATCATTAAAAAAGTAAAATTGACATGATAAAATAAATTATTATATCATGATAGAATAAAATAATAAAGATAAATAACAATATTTTCTTTCATAATTTTTTATTTTTTCTTCGTTATCATCGTGGATTCTGAAATCGGGATTAAGAGAGAACCCCAAATCAATTGGCAATTACCCATTATAAGATGAAAACAACTATTTTAATTCTTTTTTCTTGGATTCACATTCCCATTAGTATACGCACAAAAGTTTGAGACGTTTGATGGACTAAATGAGAGAAAATTTTAAAATAACTGTGATACAGTATTTTTTGTTCGAGTATTTCTTATTCCTACAGAGAAATATTAGTAGGCAGTTGGAGAGAATTATTTTTTTTAAAAAAAAATGTATTTAAAGTTAAATTGAAAACAAGTATATGAAAGTTAAATTTGTAATTTAATATTTCAAAATTGTCATTCGTCTTTATTATTTTATTTTCTAATAAAATAGTAATTTTGAGCTATTTATTTGTAATTTTAAGCATGAACATGACATAAAAATAATTTATTTTGTTATGTCAATTTACTTTAGTGATAAATTTAGGTGAGTGATTTTATTTATACAAAATAAAGTTTAATGACTTTACTAGATAAATTTTCAAAGTTGAGTAACCTTTTGAGATATTAACTCCTCAAAATTAGTATTTACTTGCTAACTTAGGTCAAGTTTAAAATGTTTGTTAATGTATTATGCATATTTTTTAAATTTTTTGGAACTCTACCAAAAAATTAAAGCAAAAACTATTTAGATGCGCATTAAGTAAACTCAGTGCTATACAATAACTTGTAAATTATACTTACCTGAGATATGGGGATCGGCTTCAATACGAAGCAAATAAAGCCAATGCTTTAAGTCCCCAATGTTGAGGGCCCCATTTATATAACAATTACTATAATTTTTAGTCCATTAAATTTACTATAAATATTAAATTATATTCCAAAGAAGCAACAAAACATATTGAAATCTAGTAACAGATTTCTTGAATCAAGTTTCATCATTTCAATTTTCTAGTTTTATTTTTTATCTTGTATTTGTTATTTTTACTTTATCGGTATTTTAAAAAAATATTTATTAAAACTTAAATACAGATGTAGACAGTGAAATTTAATTGATAAATTCATATTAAATTTTGGATTAATCCATAAATTTATGATATATTGGCCAAGTCAAATTATTGGTTAATAAAGTCGGATTAATATTTAAGTCAAAATATATGACTTAAATAAAGTCCAAATTACATTTGGGTCAGTCCATTAAGTTGACAAGACGAGCCCAACTCATGTTCTTCAAGCCCAAGGACCAAAATGTTTGGACAAAAATACCCCTAAAACCCTAGCTCAAGCCTATATAAAGAGGTCTTCATAAGACCAGAAGAAAGAAGGAAGAAAAGAAGAAGACACATAGAAATACATAGAGAATCCTTGCTCTTCAGTGGTGATCTGCAAGTCTTCCGCATACAAAGAAGTCTTCACTCCAAGTGTTGAGCCGCAAGTACAAAGAAGTCTTCGCTCCAAAAGTTGAGCCGCAAGTATTCCATCAAATCAAGAACATCATTGAAGAGAAGAATCAGGGGATTACATATCTTTTCTTAAAGATTTTATAAAGATTGTAACCTTCGCATAAATTCAAATACAAATACTGTTGTTTACTTGCTATTTTCCTTTCCTGCTTGCTGTATTTCAGGATTGAAACTTTAGACGCTTACAAATTGGCACGCCCAGTGGGACAATCTTTACCTCTCATCTCATCTCTTCAAGACAACCAAAGTTCAAAAACACCGAAATGACTTTCAAGAAGATCAACTCGAAATCCACATTTGCATCCAAATCTGGATCTACATTCGTATCCGCATCTACATCCAAATCTGGATCTACATCTGTATCCGCATCTGGATCAAAATCTCCATTTGCATCGGCATCGAAATCCGCATCTGCATTTGTATTTGCATCTAGATTCGCATCTACATCTGCAAAAACTAATGGATCCAAGTTTTGCATCGATGTTACTGCGGGAAACATGGGACTTATCACAAGGAACCAAGCCAAATTGCTGGGATAACAAGCCTCACGAGTGCCGTCCGAATCTGCTACTGTCTTTGGTTTGTCTCCAAAACATGTGAAGTCTCCTGCAAAAGTTGCAAAAGAATCCATCGCTGAAATGGTCGAGAGGGTTCTTGCCCGATTGAACCTATCTATATCCAAAAAGTCCTTCGCTTTAGTCGACAATGATGTCTTAAGCACAGGATCTACCCCACACAACATGTTTGCATCTCATGTTTGGGAAAATCAATGTTATTCTCCATCACCTACAATGATAATGCACACGATGGTGGTCGAAACTTCTACCATAGAAGAACAACTTGCATATTTGACGAAAGCAGTTGAAGGCCTATCAAAGCACATCAAAGGTCAAGACGTCCAAATTACCAAGTTGACAAACATAATGGAGAATATAGAGAAAAGAGATTCCATTCAATTATGTGAAAATCTTCATGAAACTTAGGAGAAAAGAGAGTCCTTTACAAAACAAGAAACAATCATCGAGGAGTTTCAAGTGTTTGCCGAAGGTCTGATTCATGTTGACAAATTGAAGGATTTCATCAAAGAGGCTATCAAAGATAAATCTGAGTCCACGTCCAAGTCTTCTCTTACATATGTAAAGTTGTATTCCCAAAGAATTGATGACAGAAAAATACATGTTGCCTATTAACCTCCTAAGTTGCAGCAATTCGACGACAATGGAAATCCAAAACAACACATAGCACACTTCATTGAAACCTGCAACAATGCTGGAACATACGGTGATTACCTCGTCAAACAATTTATCCGCTCCCTTAAGGGCAATGCTTTCAATTGGTACACGGACCTTGAGTCTGGTTCCATTGATAGTTGGAAACAAATGGAGAAAGAATTCCTCAATCGCTTCTATAGCACAAGGTGTGTTGTGAGCATGATAAAGATTGCAAACGCCCGTCAAAGAAATGATGAACAAGTCATTGACTTCATAAATCGCTAGAAGAGCTTGAGCCTTAACTACAAAGATTGCCTTGGTGAAACTTCTGGGATTGAAATATGCATCCAAGGTATGCATTGGGATCTTCGTTACATATTGCAAGGCATAAAGCCTAAAACGTTTGAAGAACTAGCAACACATGCTCATGATATGAAACTGAGTATGACTTCAAATGGAGATCAGGAGTTGTCCAACTTCAAAACTTACAAAGAAAATATAATCGACATTGAGGATGATGACAAGTTTTCATCTGAAATCGAAATTGAAGAGTCTATGTAAGTTAACATGCTCCTTGATGTATGAGCCTAAACCGCAAATCATAATGCTCATCGACGCACGAGCCTAAAATGCATGTCATGAAACTCATCAAATTCAAGCTAAATTTTCAAGCTTTAAAGATCCTCAAATTCGAGTTAAGTCTTCAAATCAAAATACTCCTAGCTCATCAAATTTGAGCTAAGTCTTCATGGCATAAAACTTATCAAATTTGAGCTAATCTCCATGTCGTGAAGCTCGTTGAGTTCAAGCTAAGTATTCAAATCACGAGGCTTCTCAAATTTGAGCAAAATCTTCAAGTTTCAAAGCTCATCAAATTCGAGTAAAATATTCAAATCAAAATGCTCATTGATGCACAAGTAAAAAAAAATAAAATAATAATAATAAAAAAATAATAAAAAAAAATAAAAAATAAAATAAAATAAAATATATATATATGTATATATATGTCATGAAGCACATCAAATTCGAGCAAAAAAAAATCTTCAAATCAAAATGCTCCTCGATGCACGAGCCTAAAATGCAAGTCATAAAGTTCATCAAATTCTGTTGAATCTTCAAGTTTCAAAGCTCATCAAATTCGAGCAAAATCTCAAGTCAAAAAAGAAATGTCATGAAGCTCATAAAGTTTGTGCTACATCTCAAGTTTCGAAGCTCTTCACATTTGAGCTAAGTTTTCAAATCATGATACTTCTCAAATGCGAGTCAAGTCTTCAAGTCAGAAAAGCTCCATGAAAATGAGTTAAATCTTCAAATTGTTACTTTTGACCCTCATGAGTTAAAATCTATATGGTCCAAAAATTCAATAGGTTGAAAACCTTGAAATAAGTGGCCTAGAAAAATTAGAAGAAAAAAAAAACTCACATGTTTTGCATTGAAGTGTAAAGTAAATACATTTTATTGCTTCAAAATTGCAAGAGTTTTTACACATCATAAGGAAGGGATGGAAAAAAATGGACATATCATCCCATACAAAAGGTCTAAATAGAAAAAAAAAATTAAACATCACGAAGTGATTTGTCAACTTGTCTTGGATGTCTTCATCAAGTTCGCATCACCTCTTCATCAATCATCATTGCTTCAAATATTTTTATGGATCGATGCAGCCATAAGCGATCCTCTATATTTGACATGTGGGCATATTTTGAAGTTTTGATTAAATGAGTTGATAATGTGACAAGTAGTTTCTCTCCAGAATTAGGACAAACTGCGGCAAAATCTCTTTCTCGCCAAAGTCAAAACTACCGAGGAAGAGGTACAAAGTGTGATTCATCGCTAAGCTTCAATTTAGAGGAAGATATACACTAAGTGTTATTCTCTCCAAAGTTGCAATTGTAGAAGAAGATGAATTAAATGTGGTTCGTCACTAAAGCCGCAACTGCAAAAAAATATATTTCATGTGTGGTTTGTCATCAAAGCCGCAACTCTAAAAGAAAATGCACCACGTGTGGTCTGTCATCAAAGTCGCAACTGTAGAAGAAGATGTACTAATGTCGTTCGTCGCTAAAGCTGAAATTGCAAAAGAAGATGCACTAAGTATGGTTCATCATCAAATTCACAACTACAAAAGAAGATGCATGATATGTGATTCATCATCATAGTCACAACTGCAAAAGAAGATGCAATAAATGTGGTTCGTCGTCAAAGTTGCAATTGAAAAGGAAGATGCATCATGCGTCGTTAATCATCAAATGTGCGACTGTAGAAGAAGATGCACTAAGTAAGGTTCATTACTAAAGCAACAACTGCAAAATTAAATGCATCAAGTGTAGTTCATAGTCAAAGCTGCAATTGCAAAAAAAGATCACGAAGTGTGATTTGTCATCATCAATGCCACAATCGCTAAAATATTGCACCATGTATGATTCATCGTCAAAAATCACAACTACAAATGAAGATGCATCAAGTGAGTCCTCGTCAATTATGGATTACCCCTCTTTTTTTGTATGGTATTGAGAATGTTTGCGGTCCATCGTAAACCTGTAAAAAAAGTGATGTGTCTCACGGTGCCAATTGCACGAAACTTCTAATCAGCATGAAAAAAAAATGTGGCATATGCTCTCGTGCTCGTCATGATGAATATGGTTGTATTGACTTTAGAGATTCTTGTTCTTTCTCCATGTAGATGATGACAAAATTCTCAATCAATATGCGGCTCTTCGGCGAAGATGCAGAGAAGTGAACTCATGGATGTTGTCCAAAGTCAATTGGATCGCTAACTTTAAAAATATCAATTTTGTTGAATTCATAAGAACTTTGACTTTGATTTTTGGATAGGTTGTAGACTGAAGAGTCGATTTTCTATCGAATCAAGTCCCATTCGAGCTCTCCTACACCAAGATGCAAACGTTTTGGTGAGACTCCACAATCTGCAAAACAATAATGACAGAATTGAAGACCAACTTCAAAAATTAATTCTCATCAATTCATGAAGAGTTTTACCTTGATTTTTGGATATGTTGTAGACTTTGATGTCTAGTTTTCATATAAACAAGTCGCTCGTCATGCGGAATCTGCTATAGCAAGATAGAGACGTTTTGGTAGGACTGCATAGAGCTATAAAAAAAAGAAGACAGATTTGATAGCAAACTTCAAAAATCAATTTCCGCCAATTCAGAAGGTTTTTTGATTTTGAATTTCGGATATGTTGTAGCCCTCTGAGTCTAGTTTCTGGAACATCAAACGGATCATGATTTCGATGTTTCTACAACAAGTTATGAACTTTTTATTAGAGATGTGCTGTGCTGAAAAAAAAGGTGACGAAAATTGAGTTTGGTATGCCTTAAGTTGACAATCAATCATTGTAAGAGCATGTGTATTTATAGAAATCAAAAGTACATAAATTGTGTTTCTACAAATTATGGAAAAACCATATTTAAAACAAAATTATGGTAAATTTTCCTAAGAACCAAATTATGGTAAGTTTCTATAGGAATCAAGTTATGGAAAATTCCATTGGATTCAAGTTGTGGAAAATTTCCATTGGAATCAAGTATGGAAAGTTTTGAAAGACTCCATAAAATAATATATTTCACGAATGCATCAAGCCTTGTCTTTAAAGGTTGGACACCGCAACAAGCCTCGAAGCAGGGGACATTTGTAGACAGTGAAATTTTATTGATAAATCCATATTAAATTTTGGATTAATCCATAAATTCATGATATATTGGCCAAGTCAAATTACTGGTTAATAAAGTCGAATTAATATTTAAGTCAAAATATATGACTTAAATAAAGTCCAAATCACATTTGGCTCAGTCCATTAAGTTGACAAGACGAGCCCAACATGTTCTTCAAGCCCAAGGACCAAAATGTTTGGACAAAAATACCCCTAAAACCCTAGCTCAAGCCTATATAAAGAGGTCTTCATAAGACCAGAAGAAAGGAGGAAGAAAAGAAGAAGACACATAGAAATACATAGAGAATCCTTGCTCTTCAGTGGTGGAACATCATTGAAGAGAAGAATCAGGGGATTACATATCTTTTCTTAAAGATTTTATAAAGATTGTAACCTTCGCATAAATTCAAATACAAATACTGTTGTTTGCTTGCTATTTTCCTTTCCTGTTTGCTGTATTTCAGGATTGAAACTTTTGACGCTTATAAGGTCAATTAAGAAATATGAATCCGACTAATTAATTATTATTATTATTTAAAAAGGATAAAAGTTGAAAATTTAATACTACAATTTATGCCTATTTTTTAACGACCATATTTTTTGGTTAAAACAGGTCCTTTTTCCTTCTTCATTGTTGACACTTTAACATACCCATCATGTTAGGCGTCTTTTCAAAATACCACATTTGTGGTTTTAAATATGCTTTAATTTTACAAGACTACATTAATTCCTTTACGGGTACAATGATATGATATTTAATTAAAATTTTATGTGAACTAATAAATAAAATTCACATATTTATCATATATTGTATCAATAAATTTCATACAATAACACCTTTGTTTAGACGGTTGTTGCATATTATATTGTATTATATTATTAATTTAAATACAATACTTATTTTAATTATTATTTGAATTGTATTATATCGTATTATTTAAATTTATGGTTAGATAACAATAAAAATATTCATTTGCATTTTGTAGTCATTTCTATATAAGAAAGATCTTTGTTTTGTTTAAAGGGTTTTGGAGGTTTAGCGTTGCGGCAGGAATTCCCATGTGGTCGGTTCTAAAATCTCGAAGCTTCTCTTCTTCTCCTGCAACTCAACAATGGAAGCTAGGGTTATCAATGCTCAATCGCTCTCTATCTTTTTCTTCCTCCGCCACCAATGACGGCGCCGATGAAGGAATCCGCAGCGGAGAGTTACTGAAACTGGAGGAAGTGGAGACAATCCTCAGAGATGTCAAAGCTGATAACGTCAAAGTTTTTCCCATTCCTAAACACTGTGATTTTGCAGATTTCATGGTCGTTGCTACTGGTCGATCCGCTTGGCACGTCCGTAATATTTCTCAAGCCCTAATTTACAAGGCAGGTTCGGTTATTCTCGTTGCTACTTGAAATGTGTCGATCAGTTTCACTTTTGTTTCTCATTTCTTCAAATACTTACATTTTTAGGACAAATATGTATGCTTATGTTACCGAAAGCTTGATAGGCACCTGGATTAGTCAATAGGTTCCTGTTATCCAGTATCTGGAAATCACTTAGGTTTGTTTTCAGCCTTTGCTGAGATTTGGACCTTGCTCTACCAATGATTCATTCCAGCTTCATAGAGTACCTTTGGGTACAAGGTGTGTGTATATCATATGGAAGAACCTACATCAGTAGCAACTGAGGGATCATATATTATAGTATACTGTGTTGCAATTGAATGAATGGAAACACTTGCAGCTTACAAAAGTAGCATACCCAGGCACTTGAGGGAGGGGGGAACGGAACCGTTGTTATTTACACAAAATGTCCCAGATGTAGTTCCAAGCAATAGACAATTCTCAGTTCCTAATTTTCTATAGGTATTTTTGAGGAGATATGTGGAATCTTTATTACAATACCTTGTTTTATCTAACTTTTAAAAAGTTACTGTCATCTGCCAGAAGGAAATGAAGAACTGAAAATATCCATTGAACTATCTGAAAACAGACTTCTTGATTAATCTTACAATTAAAGCTTGGATGAGGTGTGCTCACCTGAGGCTGGGGTAGGAGTTATGTTCTCTGAAAAGGAAAAGACCAACAAAGCTGAGGGCCATGGCATAACCCTGTTTTGCGATTCTGCTGCTTTGCTTGTCTCATTTAAGTGCCAGCAATGCAAGGCTGAAGGCTAGAACATGCCTGTGCATCAGGGAGAAGGGAAAAGAAAGGACGTCAGTCAGCACATTATTTCCTTTACTTCAATCTTAAAGGACATAAAGCTTCACATGGTTTTACATTTTTTAGCAATTTACTGCATATTTTTAGTGAGGGGTTTGTCTGTAAATGGGGAAATATCGAAGTTTATTTCTCTTATAAAATAAATAAATAATATTTAAGTTTATGCCAGATTGTAGGATTAAGAAAATGTCGTTCAACATCCCAGCAAAAAAAGAGATTGTTTTTTTTTGGGTAAAGTAAGAGATTATCATTGCATGGGCATCAGGAAGATGCCAAAATACAAAAAGGTGTAACCAGTTAGCTCCAGTACAGAAGGAAAAAAAAACATTTCAGCACTAGTACGGTAGTCTACGCTTGAACTATGGAGCTTACAAAGTCCAGAAAAAGTCAATTAGAAACGTGTCAATTCTATTAACATGTGTAAGAAAATTCCAACTGAACAAATTAACTAAACATTTAGTCTTGAGAGAGGGAGTAGGAGTTGAAATTCCATCAAAGCATCTGATTCCTTTCATTCCAGATAACCAAAAAAATGACTGGTGGAACATCCTCGAGACTTTCTTGATGGCTTTATCAACTCTCCAAAAGAGGGATGTTATCCTTATAACTTCCAGATGGAGAGCCTACAATTCCCCTTGTTGTAACAAGGAATCATCTCACTGTAGTTTATGGGTGTCCAAGACAGATGAGGGAGGATTAACAGTCATCTTCAGTTTCAAAAATCATTATAACAGTCATCTTAAGTATGAGCTGGCAATCACCCAAGAAAGAGGTAGGATCTTTGTGAAAGTACATGATCGAGAAGCATATGATAACTTCAACTTGTCAACTACGGGCTGTTGAAATAATATACATTTGAAGTATCTACCTGTGGTTGACACCTTGAAACTTGTTGTTGCACATGCTATTTGGCCAAGCATTCATACAGCTTTGACTTGTTATCTCATTTCAAGAGAAATGAATCTAGAAATTTGTTTGGTGCATTTTTTTGGTTCACAACTTAGAAGAACTTTTGGAGTTGAAGAATAGTTAGTAGGAGATAAACGGTTAAAAGAATATCATTGCATATTCAGTGTTTAACTACTGGAAATAAATATCTTAACGATTTTACTTGAATAATTTGCTTATTTGCACTTCACCTTTTCGTTCAATGAGCAGGTTAAGCAGAAGCAAAAAGGATCAAAGAGAATGTTGTTACCTAGCGTGGAAGGGCAAGAAGCAGGCAACTGGATTGTAATTGACTCTGGTAACAAGCGCTTTATTTTAACACTCTTATTTATGCGGTTTTAAGATTTTTGTGGATGTGGTTTCACAAAATGTGATAAAGCATTGTGCATTATGTTGTTATTTATTTCCAACGAGTCATTCAGGTGAAATCTATATCTAGAAATTTCTGAGACATAAATCTGTTACTTGTATCATACAAGCTACTGATGCACTGTTAAAGGGTTATCTGTTTGGAAAAGATACTTTTCCAAGTTGCTTCAATTGGTGTGGTGTATCAAGGATGATGTGCTTCTTGGTCTGATCATATGAGTTTTAAACTTCTATTAAATTCAAATTTTCATGTGTTATGATACTAATTAGCTTCTAAACTCTTCTGTTATGACAATCATGATGTTTAATAAGTAAATAAATCGACAGATTTCATTCTTTGTAGATCTAGTTTGTAAGAGTTATCCATAGTATTAATTTTGTTGCTAAATGGACGATCAACTGTGACCTACAATCAACTTCTACATCTCTGATGCTGTTATTCAGCAGTAAAGTGCTCTGTATTTATTTATGATGTCCATTATATGTTATATCAAGTGGATATCAACTTTTGTGTGTGTGTAGTCTGCAGTACATGTAAAAGTTTGCAGCAATTTGTAGTTTTTGTTTATTGAGACAGCTATCTTTTGCATTGATCCATGTGATTGTGTAAGTGCAGGACGTAGTTTTACTAGCCATCAATTAAGTAAACTTGCTAGTTCTCAAATTCTGCTGAATTCCTTAGTATTCTATTTTCAGTTACTGATTTTTGTTAATGGCGATAGGCAAAGTAGTAATTCATGCCCTTGATGAGAAAGTGAGAGCATACTACAACTTAGAGAAGCTTTGGAGCACATATGCATCAAACCAGGACCATGGTGTTGGTCAGGGTCAGGTATATCATTTTTTAGTTCCTTGTCGTTAATTACTTTCGGCTGAATAACCTGATTTGTCACATAATAAAAGTTCAAATATTTTTTATGCTAAGGATTTGGACAAGGCCTTTGTGAAGGTTCGCCCTAAGAATAACTCTAAAAAGCGGCCCTCTACAACTGCCTGACGTATGGAAAATCAGCTCTGTCATGTTGGCTGGCAATTCGAGCCACTATATAGAAGTGGTTTCTTTCAGGAATAGCTGGGGTTTTGCTTTTGGAGATTGTTATTAGTTCAAAGTTTGCATGTTCCATTTTCATTGTATGTGATTTTGATAATGGTACCTTTGAGACCATTGAGGTGTACATTCTCATAATATGTCACAAGCAACAGTGAAACCTTTGGTGTGTAATAGTTGTTCCGGTTATGTATTTATGTTAGGGTTATGAGCCATGACTATTTTCTTGTTGATGAATGATATCAGCAAGGTGTTCAATAACCTGAAGTGTTTTTCTTCAGTTGTGTGTAACTTGTTGGGTACTTAATGTTAGAAGTTTAACAGTTGAGTGGAGCAGTTAGCTCAATACAGTCATGTGATAGATTCTATGGATATCTTTAACATAAACTTAGAATGCAAGCAGAGATTATCAAGAACATACTTTCTCTACACTATATTATTTCATAATGTAGAATCAAGCGTTCATTCTTAAACTCGTGGTTAAACAGATTGCAACTTCCAGTTGATGATCCTTCTCGTTCGGAAACTTCATGGATTAGATAGTAGTAAATTTATCGTCAAGTATGTTGTTTGTTTTAGGATTGCCACCAACTTATTTCTTTATTTTCAGACAATAGAGACTTTTATTCAGTTTCATGGATCTCTCGGTCATTTTATTTAGATTTATATTAAGTACATGTTTCAATTAGCTGAAACACTCATCAGAGTTCATAAAATGTCATTACTTCATTAGAATCATGCAATATCAAGGGTTCGATTGAGGACATTCGTGATTTGGAATGTTAATCACTAGAAGCAAATTCAGAATTCGAAAATAACGGGGCACCACTAGATGTGGATGTGCATTAGTTGAAGTACCAACACTTCGTCAGAAAAATATTGTCAACCAAGTATAAAATTAAAGTATTAGTAAATATAAATTAAAATGAAAGTGTGACATAGTTTAATGTGTGGTAAAATGTTGTCAAACAAGTATAAAATAAAAGGTATCAATAAATATAAATTAAATATTTAACGAATGTGTAACATATATATACTTTTTATAACTTTTGACTATTTTTTTATATAAAAATTTATGACTATTTTTGTTGTAAACTAATTACTTTATTGTGTATATATATTTGAAAGCCTCGGGGCACGGTGCCTTGAGGCGGGGGGGGGGGGGGGGGGAAGGGGTAGAGCCTTGGGGCACGGTGCCCTAGTCCGACTTTCGTGTATAGTCTATGAATTTTTGTGATCCAGAATTCCGACAAAAAAATGGCCGAAATTTTTCATGGACATCCGTTATGACTCCAACTAATTCTATTTACTTTTTCTCCTCATTAAATGCACTCTTGAAATTGATATAACTTCAAGGCAGTTATAACCTGCCCAATTTTATTTTTTCTTGAAAAAACATGATATATCCGATAAAAAAACTTCAACGATAATGTCTTATTTACTGAACCCCAATTTTCGTAATATTCGTTTACTAGAAAGAGCCAAGTTTAACAACTTACAAAAAGATTAAGCTAACTCTTATTTTTATTTGGTTTGTGTTGTAGTCTATTGTATGAAACTCTGAAGCTAATTATCTTAGTTGCACTTTCAAATCTAAATTTTTAAAAATATGGCCAAACACTAACTATGTATGGTAATCTAACATTTAGCACGTTGTTATTATGCTACAACTAACACATTCCATGCTTAATTGATAAGTTTGTAACCGATGGTTCTAATAATACTTCAGACTTTAGTAGTTGATTTCCAATCTGAGTTCTTTAAATAAATAAATAAATTCATGAACCTACATTAGGGTGTACATGATCGGGTTGGTTCGTATTTTTCAAATATCAAATCAAATCATTTGTGTCGGGTTTTTAAATTTATAAACCAAATCGAACTAATAAAACTCGGATTGTTCAACCTCGGGTTTTTGATCTGTTTGTGGATTGGATCATTCAAGTCTTTTATTGAGAACATGGGCTTTGGGTTTCTTGATCTGTTTATGGATTGGATTTTGGGTTTCTTGATCTGGGGTTTTGAGATGGTTTTATTAGGGTTGTAGATCTTCGATTTGATTTTCAAGATTGTTCTGATGATTTCTCAAAATGATGAAATTTTAGGTGTTTTCTCATGTGTATGTGCTCAAATTGATTTTAGTGCTTATGCAAGATCATTTCTATTTGAGTTTCAAATTATATCTACACATTTGTTGGCTATGTCTAAGTTTTTAGGTGTTATATAGTTATCTGGATATATTTTTATGTGATATCTTTATGCTTATGGATTATTAGGTTTTGGGAATGTTTAGATTTTAATACTATTCACAAATCTGATTAAGGAAACATAGAAATCTCTATACTTTTCATATCTATTTCTGTGAGAAATTTTCTTCAACTTTAAAGTTGTTTTCATCATGTTTTAGATGAGTGGTGACTCAGGAATATCTGTATTTCCCGAAGAAGACAACATTTTCTGCTGGAAAGGGACAATAGCTGGTAGCAAAGATACATTTTTTGAAGGAACATAATACAAGCTCTCTCTTTCATTTCCTGCTGATTTCCCTTTTAAACCACCAAAGGTCAAATTTGAGACCGGTTGCTTTCATCCCAATGTTTAGACATTCTTCAGGTAACTATCATGTCCGAGTCTTGTTCAAACTACTTGGATATCCCTAAAAAAGTTGAGGGTCTATTGGGATCAGTCTCTCTATCTGCTTGAATGTGTTAATGGTCTCGTATTGTAGTTGGTTTGGTTTAACATCTTTTTAACATCTGATCTGATCTATCTGTGGAATACCATGTCATTATAGGATAAGTGGTCATCTGCTTATGCTTATGATGTGTGAGGACTATACTCATTTCAATTCAGAGTTTGCTTGGAGGTAAATACTATAAGCAATTTGTCAACATTTGCCGATTTAATCTTAACCATTTTCTAATCTTGTTCTTGTAATGTTGTACCAGAGCCAAACATAAGCTCACCTCTGAACACTCAAGTTGCTGCTCTTTGGTGCAATCAAGAAGGTAAATCCTTAAGCTTTCTTGTAAATTGAAATTATGAGTATATCGACTTAGTGCGACTGTTCTTAACGAGTCTTTTTGCCTTTTTCTTCTTTCTTTGTGCAGAATACAGGAAGATGGTTGAGAAGTTATACAAGCCTAGTGAGTAGTTAGGTGTTAGTGTAGAATTTTTGTTCTTTTTTCATATGGATGGAACAAATGTAGTTGGAATTGTTTTAGTCAAACTAATTTAGTCACTTTCAGCTTAGGTTTGCACCTTTCCATCAAGCAGGTCAGTTCATTCCTATCATGTGGTATTTGTTGACTAGATGTTGGAATGTCTCCTCCTTATGATTTGAGCAACACCAGTATGTAGATACCATGTTATATCTCATCCTCTTTAGTGCATCATTTGGTGGTAGTTTGTACTTCCAAAATCTTCACATAAAGAAGATTTTTACAGGAAGTCCTTTAGTCCACATGTTCTAATAGGTCTCCGTCTTCTGCCTTTGAGTCTTCCAGTAGCCACTATGGTCCTTTTTAGTGTTTGGTGGTTGTATGGTTTCAGTGATGTGCTCCACTATATCCTCAGGTAGGAGCTATGTCAATTTCTCCTTATTCCATTCTCCATTGATCTGCAACTCATTAACATTCTGAATTCTTTCATCACAAGAGATATTTGATGTGGCATAGTACAGTGCACTCAATCGTGTCCAGTTGTCATACAGACTTGAGTATTCATAGTATGACTCTAGTCTTTAGTGTAGAATTTTTATTCTTTATTCATATGGATGGAACAAATGTAGTGGGAATTGTTTTAGTTGTTATTTCCTGTTGTTTGGGGAATCCTCTCTTTATATGTATGAGAAAGAGAAAAAGGATGTTGTGTACTATATATCCTCAGGTAGGAGCTATGTCAATTTCTCCTTATTTCATTCTCCATTGATTCGCAGCTCATTAACATTATGAATTCTTTCATCACAAGAGATATTTGATGTGGTATAGTACAGTGCACTCAATCGTGTCTAGTTGTCATACAGACTTGAGTATTCATAGTATGACACCATGTATGATGTCTCTCAAATCTCTCACAATAATATGTGAACATAGAACTTCTATTTTTCTTTAATCTCTTGTGTCTCAAATTCATTGATGATATCTGAAATCATATCAAAACGCTAAAAAAGAAGACTTTACAGTGAGTTGCCATTACCAAATTTATTTTGGGAGACATCCTCTCAGTTTCCAAAAAATAATGTATGGGACAGTTGGTAGGCTCTTCTCAACATGGTTTCCAAGTAGTGTTCTCAAACCAAGGTGCGACTTTGCACGAAGATGTCGTTGTCTATGGCTAAAGATTGACATTTCTGCCCATGTCTTGGATATGACACATCTTTTGCTCACCGAGGATATGGAGGCAAGTCAAATGCTTGTAGTATTAAAACCTTACTAATGTACTTTTTAGCTTTCGATATTTATTGCGTTGTTGGAGTTATGGTTCTTGCATGTTTTGCAGTGCTTCTTATTACTCTAGTGTAGTATATTACAAGTATTTTTATATAAATTTATTTTTAAGAGAATAGAAGTGGGTGGAGAAGGGGGGGCGGTGGAGGATATTGGGGGAGGGGGGAGTAGAAGGGGGGATAGAGGCGTGGGGGTAGGGCCTGGGGGAACGGTTACCCTAAGACGGGTGGGGGGGAGATAGGGGTGGGGGTAGGGATTCGGGGAACGGTTCCTTGAGATGGGGGCGAAGGTGGGGGAATAGAGAGGGAGTGGTGGGAGTAGGGCCTCGGGGAACGATGCCTTGAGGTGGGGAGAGTAGAAATGGGGGGGGGATAAAGAGGGAATGGTTGAGGTAGGGCCTCGGGGAACGATGCCCTGAGGTGGGGGAGTAGAAATGGGGGGGGGGGATAGAGAGGGAATGGTTGGGGTAGGGCCTCGGGGAACGATGCCCTGAGGTGGGGGGGATAGTGGGGAAGGGTAGAGAGGGGGTAGGTAACGGTTCCCTGAGGTGGGGGGGATAGAGAGGTGGGGGTAGGGCCTTGGGGAACGATGCCCTGAGATGGGGGGGATAGTAAGGGGGGTAGAGAGGAAGGGGTGGGGTAGGGCAAGACAGGGGGATAGCTTGGGAAGGTAGAAAGAGGGATAGAGAGGGAGTGTTGGGGGTAGGGCCTTGGGGGGGGGGATAGAGAGGGAATGGTTGGGGTAGGGCCTCGGGGAACGATGCCCTGAGGTGGGGGGATAGTGGGGAAGGGTAGAGAGGGGGTAGGTAACGGTTCCCTGAGGTGGGGGGGATAGAGAAGTGGGGGTAGGGCCTTGGGGAACGATGCCCTGAGATGGGGGG